GGCCAGATGTGATCACAGGGTGGCCTCTTTCTGTTCTCTCACCTAGGAGATGTGTGTATTTTCTACCTCGCAGGTTTTGAGATTAAGAAGACCTACATGCCTTAGAAACATCTTGAAGAAATCTATGCTAGGGGTGGGTGCTGGAACACGTGGAGATTCCTGGTCTCGAGTCTGCTGAGCTCAAGAACACACAACTATGGCATTCACATATATCGAAGGGCAACTCAGCTGCAAATGTTTATGAGTTTTTTTTATCATTTCCACACACAGAGATCTTGAGTGCTCCCTTAAGATCCTAGTCACTCTTCAACAGAACTTCAATCAAAGTTGACATAACAGATTTCGTAGGTGCAACCAGCCGAGGCCCAGCCCAGCCCCGCAGAATTCTAGATCTTCAGAGGCAGGTGCCATCCATAGACCCTGCCTTCTAAGCCTCAATTGTTTTGACTGAGAAAAAAGGACGAGTTTAACACCTTCATTGTTTACTGCTAAATAATTCACCATAGGAATACATAATCTGTCTGTCTGTATGTATGTATGTATGTATGTATGTTTTGAGGCAGGATCTTTAACCCAGACTGGTTTCCAGCTCCCCTTGTAGCTGAGGATGACCTTGAACTTCCGGCCCTCCTGAGTGCTGGATCACAGGTGTGTGCCACTGTGCCTCTACACTTTACCCAGTGTCCGTGACTGAACCTGGGTCTCTGTGTGCACTAGGAGGGCGCTGCTGCCTGAGCTACGTTCCCAGCCTCATGATCCTTTCAGCAAAAAACGCATCAAACTGCAGGTGACTCCTTAGCTACAGCAGTCACGGGACCTAATGCTGTGTTTTCCCGGGAAGGGTGGGATCTATGCTGGGCGGATGTGCTGGAACCATGGGAGAAGGTGCCCCGACTGGTCAGGGGCCTGGTCACAGCATCAGCCAGTATCACCCTGTTGGAAGCTGTTTCCTGTTAGTGTCATTCAGACCGCACGCTGAAGGACATTTGACAACAGCTTAGAAGCGGCCAGCGTCTTAACTGGGTTCAGTGGAAACCATACTCACTGTGCAGGATCTGAGTTCAGATCCCCAGCCCCCACACAACAGCCAGTCATGGGCACTGTCATCTGTAACCTCAGCGCTGGGGTAGAGACAGGCAGACACCTAGAGAGTCTAGGAACAGGCTCCAGACTCAGTGAGGAACCCTGTCTCAAAAACTAAGGTGGAGAGGGCTGGATGAGATCACGTGACATTGATTTCTAACCTCTACACACACGCACACAAGTCTACATAGGCATACATTTATAATACACACACACACACACACACCATCACCAACAACAACAACAACAACAAACAAGACTGTCAGAGAATGGTTGTCCTGGCCACATTTGCAGCTTAAGGGAATCTGAAGAGACAAGACAGCCAGAAGCAGTGTGTGAGACTGGACTGGCTGCTAAAAGCATGGATGAACTGGGGTGGGGGACTCTAGATTATATAACAGATCGGCAACTCGCTGTTAGTTTCCTGACATTGATGATGTGTGCACTTAATCTCCTGGGGGCGGGGATAAGGTGCAGGTGTCTGCGCGCACAGGAAGAGAACAGCCAGCAAATGCGGAGGGTGTTAGCATTTGCCTGAACGAGACACAGCTGGAGTTCTTCAACAGTCTGCAACTTTTCCGGAGATTTGAGCAATTTGAGATCCACTCAGCAGCACCCCCCCCCCGGCATCCTAAATACTCCCCAAACAGCAGATCTACGCACCTGGCTACAGCCCATTCCCTGCCTGCCTGTTCCGTTCACAAGGCGTTCTAAACCTTTTCTCTATTTCTTCCTAATACCATAGCCGAGTTCGTTGCTTTATTCCCCTGGCACAAATCTCTTTCCTTTCTCCTCAGCCGAAGACTGAAGGCTCCCATCATCCTGAGAGGTTTTGTATAAGACAAAGCACCAACATCGCTCCAGTTAGGGTGCAGATTTGGTCCTCGCTGCTGCGTCCCCCGCTTACAAATCCCACTGTGTATTTAAGGAAGAAGGAAAAGTCGCTCGTATTCCTCTTTGAACTCCGTCTGCTCCTTTTCAAATGTTTTTGTTGTTATATGTTAATTGTGCACAATCATGGGTCTTGTCACATTTTTACATGTATACGTAATTATTTTAGTCATAGCCAGACCTTGTCACCCTCCCTGTCCCCTTCTACTCCTGAAGGTCCACTCCCTCTTCCCCTGGAGAGGGGTAAAATCCGAGGAGTTTCACTAGGGCTCCCTACAGGAGCATGAGCAACTTCCCAGTGCCACCCAGATACATGACGAAGGACAATGTCTCTCTTCCCTAGTAACCATTAACTGTGCATAAGTCCTTAGGAGTCCCATGAAAACTCATTTTTTAAATCATGACAATAAATAAAAGAAGAAATGAGGCCTGGGGGAGACACCACCAGCGCCATTGATCTCTCTGCAACAGCAAAGGTGTCAAACAAGAAAATCCGAGCATCTTTCCCTGGGGCCCCAAACCCAGATATTAGCGAGGATAGTTCTGAGGCGCCTCTGCCCAGGTCAGAGTAAACGGCTGTTTTTTCTCTCTTGGCTAGCTCTGTTATTTCTCCTCTTCCCATCCCCAGCTGCCATCATGACTGGCTTCTCCAGAGACCCTTGGGAATGTATGCCCTTGCCGCGTGAGCCTCCGGAATCCTTACCTGCAGATAGTGGCTGCTGTGTAAGAAAGAAGCCCGTGGACACCCGGCCCTTGTGGAACTGGGCTACCTCAATACATGCAGAATATATAGGGAGAGGTTGTGCGTCTGGATTTTCATTACAGAGGTGTTTTTGATGGGTCCTCAGCCAAGTTGTACTTTACAACAAAAGCCACACAAAGACTGCACAAAGGCCACACAGCGTTTAAACAAAAGGCTAAAGAGAGACCAAACAAAAGCTAAAGAAAGTTGAAACAAAGAGGGAAACAAAGAGAAAACAAAGGCCCAACAAAGACAGGGACAAAGGCCAACAAAGAGTAAAAGAAAAATCTGAACAAAAGCTAAAGCCACATCACGCATGCCTGTGTGGACCCCACATGTATGACTCTCGTTGTGACATGGCCTGGACCGTGTGGGACAAGCTGTGTTGTGCCAGGCAGTATGCTTACCGTGGCATCGGGCCATGTTGGGGGGGGGGGTGGTTTGTGTGCGGATCGGGCTGTGTCCTGCCCTAAGTCACTCCACGCTGTGTGAGACCCTGGTGGCTCCGCTTTACCAGTGGCATTTGGTTCCAGTTTGAATGCAAACACGGAGACAAGATGCTTGTGCACAGACATGCCACCTGTCCGGTCCCAGCTATGAGGTGCAGATGTGTAAAATATCCCAATATATAATATCACTTTGAGGAAAGTGACTTGAGCAAAAGAGACCTCAAAGCCCAGTGACACCCTTCCTCCAATGAGGTCATACCCACTTCAACAAAGCCACACCTCCCCATAGAGCCACTCCCTATGAGCTCATGGGGGCCAATTACATTTGAACTACCACAGTGCTTGTGTCTATTTGTTTCTTTGAAGCCGAGACCATAGAGGAACGCTGCTTGCTTGCTGCCTCACTGCCAAGCTCATGCTCAGCTAACTTTTTTTTTCTTTTCTTTTTTTTTTTTTTCAAGACAGGGTTTCTCTGTGTAGCTTTTGGAATCTGTCCTGGAACTCACTCTGTAGACCAGGCTGGCCTCAAACTCACAGAGATCTGCCTATCTCTGCCTCCCGAGTGCTGGGATTAAAGGCGTGTGCCACCACCGCCCAGCCTTCAGCTAACTTTCTTATACAGCTCAGAACCACCTACTTTGAGGATGGTGCTGCCCATAGAGGCTAGGCCCACCTATATCAGTTAACAACCACAGGAAATCTCCCACAGATCTCCCACAGATACGCCTCAGGCCAGTCTGACCCGGGCTGTCCCTCAATTGAGACTCCCTCCTCAGATGATTCTAGGCTGTGTTAAAACTACTAAGCTAACTAGAACAAGGTGAGATTACCATATGTATGGCGATCAGAGACACATGTACCTCCCACATACACACAGAATAAATAGATAAATAATATACTGGTGGTTTTATTGTTATTTTTGATTTTGCATTTATTTATTTTTGCTGTTTAGAGAGTCTCATCACGTAGTGTTGGCTGTCTTAGAACGTGCCATGTAAACCAGGCTGGCCTGGAACTCACAGAGATCCACCTACCTCTGCCTCCCGAGTGCTGAGATTAAAGGTGTGCGCCACCACACCCAGCTTGTAATTTAAATTTTTAAAGTTGTCTTATGATTTAAAGGGAGTCTACTGCTGTACTGCCTTGATTGAGTCCTGTCTCCTCAGATGGAAACATAAAAATACAGGCAACACTGATACATATGTTTTGTTGTATAAACATGAAAAGCAGGCATTTTGTTTTATAAACAGCTCTCGGGCCTTTGTACTTACTGGGGGTCAACAATGATAATGAATTGACTGTTCAGACCCAGGAGAAACAAGCGCAAGTCTCTCCTCATTTGCCCCCAGTCTTTGCTTCAGGTCTAAGTCTGACCCATCTACGTTCTGACCTCTGCCTAAAGGTTCCCTTGGGTCTCTGACTTGGGTGGTAAATAGAGGACTCTAATGCCAGCTGGGCTGCCAGTCACTCACACAAAGCTCCTGTGTGTCCCCAAGCTTTATGCCCAGCGTCACTCTCTGCCTCCCCATCTTCTTCGAGGGCCCAGTCACAATTGTTTCTGGGCAGTGATGACCGGTATGGGAGTGGACACCATGTTCCCTAAGCAAGGGACTGTGTTTTGCTGTGCTAGAAGTCGCTTGACTTTATACCCAGTTCAGGGATCGTCTTCATTCCCTACTGTCGGTACCCAGGTTTTTTTTCCCTTTGCTCGAGGTGCTATGCAGGGCCGTTTTTCCTCTGACTTCCTGGCTTCTCTGCTCACTGCACTGGCTTGGGGGATTAGTTTAGAGAGAATTTGGCCCTCTTTTGTTATGGTAATTCCACCTGCAAGCAAGGTTCCCACCGTGGCGCCTAATCCGTCTGCCACCGCAGCTGCTCTTTGGCCGGTGGCGCCGGGCGCCTGACACCCTCTTTCCCTGTTCCAGATGGAAGGGGGCTATTGTCCTTCTGCCCCCTAGTATATATACCCGACTTTTGCTTAATCAAGTTGCCATTTACTCCTTTGGTGAATGAGCCTGGTCTCTCTGTGTGTGTCTGTTCAACCCTTAGGATATTTATCCATTCTCGTGGACTTGATTCGGGAGGCGTGCACCTGAATCGGCTGTGGGAATTCACAGAAAAATGCAAGCAGCACCCTACTACACTAGAGGGGAAACTGGGAGTGGAAGGCACTGTGCAAGGGTTCTAGCAACACGAAAGAGCCAGAGCAAGGTTATGCCTGGGCGACACAGACTGCTACGGAGATCCTGGCTGCCGGCGTCTGCTGTTCAGGCAGACCTCTGTGTTCTAACCTTGTGCTTATGAAGCAGTGAGTGTCTGCTGGGTGTTTCCAGAGTGCCTAGAGGAGCTCCAATGTCCCACAAACTGTCCTCTTACCTCTACACTGTATACCATGGTGCACACACACACACACACACAGAGAGAGAGAGAGAGAGAGACATATACATACACAGACAAACAGAGAGACACAGACAACACAGACTACATAGTACATACACACACAGAGATGTGCAGTAGATTAGACTTGGGAGCAGTTGAGAGGAGGGTGAGGAGGGTTAGCAGGCAAGGGGTGGGAAGAGAAGAGAAGGCAATTGGGGAATAGGATTAAACAGTACATTGTATATAGGTAAGAACAGTCAAAATAGAAATTGAAATTGAGGTCCTCTACTCTGCTACTGCACACTGTGAAGTGTACTGGGCCACCAAACTCCTACAAGCAGATTTTCCCCAGGAAAGCAGGGAAACTGCATGTGCTCAAACAGGGAGCAGGGAAGGGAGGAGGGAGCCCCTTCATTTTCTATTTATCAACATTGGATGAAGGATCCTATTTGTGAGCAGATGAAGTCTTCATGTGCCTCTAACACTCTGTTCTGCCCTGTCCCCCAAAGGGACCCAAATAGAATTATGTTTTAACTATCTCCACTTCACAGATGATGAAACCAAAACAGGGATTCTCAGTAGCTTTGGAGCCTGTCTTGGAACTAGACCGCGTAGACCAAGCTGCTCTTGAACTGCCCCAAGAGCAGGGTTTTGTTGTTGTTTTATTTTGCTTGTTTTGTTTTTTGTTTCTGTTTTTTCAAGACAGAGTCTCTCTGTGTAGCCCCAGCTAAGACTCAGTCTTAAAAACAACGCCAGGTGCACAGGCCTTTAATCCCAGCACTCGAGAGGCAGAGGCAGGTGGATCTCTGTGAGTTTGAGGATAGCCTCGTCTACAGAGCGAGTTCCAGGATAGCCAGGACTGTTACACAGAGAAACTCTGTCTCAAAACAAACAAACAGCAACAACAACAACAAAAACGAACGAACGAAAGGAATGAAGGGAGAAAGAAAGAAAAGAAAAGAGCAAAAAAGAAAGAAAGGCAATAAGACTGGGTCTTGTTATTCAAGCTGACCTCTGATTTATGGCCCTTGCTCATGCATGCTAGCTTGGACTATTTAGTTGACACAACTAATACTCACCTGAGAAGGGAGTTTTAACTAAGGGACTGCCCAGATCACTTGACTTGACCTGTGTGTGTGTGTGTGTGTGTGTGTGTGTGTGTGTGGTGATTGTCTGGACTGCTAACTGACCCAGCCTTTTCAGACAGCAGGTTCTGGGCTGCATAATCACGGGGGATCTGGCTGAACATGAGCAAGCGGGTCATGGGCAGCATGGGTGCACCCGTTCCTCCGAGCTGACTGTGGATTTGATGTGGCAAACTGTCTCCTGCATCTGTGATTCCATAAGTATGAGACAGTAACCAGAAAGAGGAAAGCCCTTTGGTCCCGTGTAGCTTTTACTCTTTTGTTGTTGTTGTTTTGTTTGTTTTTTAATCGTGGCCACAAAAATCACACTTGAAACTCCTCCTGCCTCAGCTGTGGTTACAGGCTTGGGCCACCAAGTCCACCAGAAAAAGAATTCATTAGTTAGGAAAGTCTGTGCTGCGCTGCCCCCTGGTGGCCATGCTGAGTCAGTATCAACAGCTCCATTCCAGCGGCTCTTCCTGGATTGCCCCTGCAACTTCCTCATGGCCTCTGAAGGCTGTGGCATTAACCAACACAGTTTCCAGATCCCACCAGGTCCACAGCAGAAGACTGCCATGCTGACAGAGATAAGGAACTACCCAGAATCTGGATCAAGTCCATTTTGTTGGGTCCAGGGGGTCGTGCAAAGATGAGAACACCATCAAGTCTAATAAATCAGAAGCAAACTTTATTCCAAAAACCAGATCCTAGGAAAACCAGAAGCAAACTTAAAAAATAAAAAATGAAAATAAAAAAACACCACGGTGCACAGAAGCTTATCAGCTAGCTGAGACCACAGCCAGAGATGGTGTTTGTTAGGCTGTGGCCAAAGACCAGTTTTTGAACCCACTTTTTATAGTAGGGGCACCAAGCTTTAGCTCTGAACAAAGGAATTTTTACAACCTTGTCCTGACCCCGTGGGTCAGTTAACATAAACCCTAAGGAGGGGAGTGAGTTCTAACGTCAGTGGGTAATTAGGCAGCTATCATGAAATATGTTTTAGAGGAGATTACAGCAAAAGTCACTAATTGCAAGAAAACAGATGTCTTTAGCAATTAGTCAGAAAGGGGACTGCTAGTAATACCAGAAGGTTAATAAATTAAGATTAACT